GTAATTGTACTTGCCTCCACCACTTCCTCTGATAGCTCATTCCATACATGCACCACTCTCTGCATGAGAAAGTTATCCCTTAAGTCCCTTTTAAATCTTTTCCCTCTCACCTTAAACATATGCCCTCTACTTTTGGACTCCCCCATTCTAGGAAAAAAGACCTTGGTTATTCAACCTATCCACGCCTCTTATGATTTTAAAAACCTCTATAACGTCACCCCTCAGCCTCTGATGATCCAGAAAAAAATGCCCCGGCCTATTCAGCCTCTCCATATAGCTCAAACACTCCAGTCCCAACGACATCCTTGTAAATCTTTGCTGCACCCTCTCTAGTTTAACAACATCCTTCCTATAGAAGGGCAACTAGGGTTGTGTGTAATATTCTAAATGGGGCCTCACCAACGTCCTGATTAGCCACAACATGACTTCCTAATTCCTATATCCACTGTTCTGACCAAAGAGGGCAAGCATGCCAAACACCTTCTTCACCACCCTGTCCACCTGTGACTCCACTTTCAAAGGACTATGCACCTGCACCCCTAGATCTCTTCATTCAGTAACACTCCCCAGGGCCCTGCCATTAGGTGTGTAAGTCCTACCTTTGTTACCAAAATGCAACATCTCACATTTAACTAAATTAAATTCCATCCAACACTCCTTGGCCCATTGGCCCACCTGATTAACGTCCCATTGTACTCTCAGGTAATCTTCTTCACTGTCCACTATGTCACCTATTTTGGCGTTATCAACAAACTTATTTTATCATGAAAATGATTATGATTCATTAAACCTACTCATTACTTTTAAATCTCTACAAGTGGGTAATTTCTGATAAAAACAAGTTTTTATTCAGTAACACATTAAAAAATATCATTTACCATTCCATTTGTCTACAATTAAACTGTGAACTCAAACCTTTTTGCTGAGGTAACTATAAATTTTGCAACCAAGCCAAGCATTCATAACGATATTAGTACTAGCTTTGAGTAAAACATTACTAAATAACTGAAACTACATGAGTAGACGCGACTTCTATTTCTATCCTGCACCTAGCAAACAAAGCAGTTCAGCAGGGATGCTTTTTAACTCTCGTTGACAGCCTTTTTAAAAATAGTTTAAATAGCTGGCTATTCACAAAATTACAGACTATGACAATTACAAAGATGTTATCTACTATTCAAGAGTGTTTTTGTCTTCTCCATCAACTCATAACTCCCATATTGATGTTGAACTGGCCAAAATGTGGTCTATTTGAACTAAGCACTGAGTTCAAATGGCCCTGCTTGTGTTTGAGCTTCCCTCCCATGTCAGTTTTGTTCTACCCTAGACCAACATAAATTGGGTCTGTCAGAAAAGTGGGTGGGACTTATGTATTCAGAACCCATCTGTCATTTTTTAATGGACCACAGAATCTTCCCAATTTAGCAAATGTCTGAGCATCCTTCTCTGTTTATTTCTCATGGTACTTCATGCTTTCATGAGCTGCTAAACTTGCACTCAAAGAGCATAAAGCTGCTTTTACTGAAATGGTGCATTAATGCCAACAAAATTCCTAACTGAACAGACTTCAGTAAAATTCAGATATACCCAATCTCAGCTGCTACTTAAATACAATAGGACTTCAGAAGTCTAACTTTATGGTATGGCTTATAATTTTAAGCAAGGTTTGATTAAAAATTGTGAATTAATATACAGTGTTATACATTGTTATAAAAATGGAAATAAAAAATGAGATATGATTTGAGAAATTAAATGCAGTATTATCTGTGACTGATGTATCCTTCCTGAAGTGCAATGCCCAGAACTGTATGTAATAAACAAGATGAGGTTTGACCAAAATTCTATACAACTGACAAATTATTTCCTCACTGTTGCAATATTGCATATCTGAAATAATTTGGCATAAATTGGCAGTAAATTTGAACTCTTGTATGGCTGGTATGAAAAATTTAAAAAGTAATATTTATCGTCATAAGAATTGCTGCTCTGATGGTATAAGGCATTGGGGAGCTCCAGAGCAATGAATCTTTACTCTGCTACTGGCTGGTGCTGCAGCTGATCCACGGGCTTAAAATGAACCGTGAAAGGTAGAACAGTGTTTCATTCCCTCAGATAAATACTGCTGGCCTTAATGAATATTAATAAATTCCGTGATTCTGTTTTCTTTTAATTTTAGATTTAGGTATTTTTCCCCTGTGCACTGCAACCAAGCTCATCAAACATATGCATGATATGGATTTTGTTGTATCCAATTTTCCGAAAGGTAGTAAAAGAATGCATGAAGCTGAAGCTTTTCACATTACACTCATCACAATTGGGATGCATGAAACCAAACTTTGAAAGGGAACACTTGTTCCAGTCCAAGTAAGTGCAAGACAAGATAGTTTTGACTTTGTTTCTCCTTGTAGCAATGTTTAAGCTCTGTGGTACTAAGCAATTATTAATGCAGTTAATCCACAAATACCAGAGACCATTAGGACTTTTAATTAAATCTGGTTAGGAAAGAACAACAGTTCAGACAATACATGTAAAAATATTCCTTTGGCATAATCCCTACCCCAACTAATATTACAGCCTTATCCTGTCCTTGATTCGTTTTTGTATATTTACAAAGCAGGCCATGTTAAATTAAGAAGAGACAGTCATACTGATGTGTGGCACTTGAGTGCATGACTGTAAATCCAGACTGTGCTGAAGTAAAAAGTATTCTGAACATATTTGTGACATTAAAGGAAATGACAGGATCAATTTTTGATGGCAATCCCTGCCACTGTTGAGATCAAGTGGCCTCTTTCCAGCTGTGCCATTATGTGGAAGAGCAAATAAACGAAGGCCAAATGAAAATCCTCGTCCAATAATTAGCTGTCTCTTCCAGTTTAGAGACTTGAAAACAAATCGACTGCATTATTTGGCAGGCTAGGTGGATCGACTTTAACAGTGTCAACATTTGTTTGCTTGATTAAAATAAGCTAATATCAAAGGAAAAGTAAATATGATTCTATGGAATTATTTGAGTCCAATCCAAACATTTGAAAGTGTTTTGGCAAAAGTTTATAAGGACAACAGTGTAATTCTGATGAAGGGTCTAGGCCCGAAACGTCAGCCTCTCTGCTCCTATGATGCTGCTTGGCCTGCTGTGTTCATCCAGCCCTGCACCTTGTTGTCTCAGTGTAACATCTCTGACCATTGGCAGTGTTGAGCAGCATAAGTAAGCTAACCAAGATTATATCTGATAAAAGCATGCTGTAGCTCAAGACTAATCCAGTTGTCCTTTGTGACTTTGAGTAAGCCGAAACTGTAGTCAATGCGACTTCTTATTTCTGTTACATACCACTTCTATACACTAAGAGTTATCACAAAATGGAACAAAAATCAAACCCACCTCTGAAGGAAATAAATTATTCACTTTCCATAACAGAAATTCAACTAATATGCCATAATATTTAATAGTAGAATAGAAGAACAGATGCTGTGATAGGACAGTTTGTTGGAGGTGATTAAGAAATGATCTCAGGTAGCCAAGTGGGAACAGATTGCCTCTGAATGCTGAAAGGACAAACAAGGGGAAAATGTTTTGTTCATTCCCATTTCTCCTTGTGTCTGCATTTGTTTAATATCTATTACATCTGCAACATTTTCCAGTTCACTAAAAAGTCATCAACCTGAATCTTAAACTCTGATTCTCTCCCTATGGATATTATTGTCTGACCTGCTCAGAGTTTTCAGCATTTTCTGTTTTTATTTCAGAATTTCTGCTGCTGCTGATTTGGCAAAACACTGTGATAAAATACTTCAGTAATAAAGCTGACAACTTTTCACATGTGTGACATTGTGAGGGTAGTGTAGAGCCACACTGAATGCAAGCTTATGTCAGCAGTGGTGTTGTTATAATGAGAAGGCATAGACTTTGGTCCAGATTTTCCAATGACCGGAAAGTCCTTTCCACAGCATAAATGGCAGTTGTGCACGGGAATCCCACAGATTCCTGACATAAGAGATTCTGAAGGAATTGTATGGGAATTTGCTGTTATATATCGTGGCCAATCCCCCATGCCTGGAACTGCCTGAAAGTATTCATTTACATCAGAGAATTCCAACGATTCTGCTGCTGTTAAGCAAATAGTTACAAAAGGTTAGATTATGAAATGCTTAATCTAACTCCTAAGTAACTATTCAACTGACCCACCAATCCACCACACATACTCTCGAATACTTCTTCCCCAGTCCCCTAACAGCTCCCAGAACCTAACCCGACAACCATCTCTCTTATTAAACACTCATAATCAGGCCCAACACCTTGCTCTCTACCTCGGTGACCAAATATTACCCCCTTTACCCCTGTTGTTGACACACCCCTCTACCTGAGTTACCTGACAGAACCTCTCCCTTCCAGTGGACCAGGCAGCCCCTGAGATGACTCCCACCATGGCCCAACCCCCACCCACCCACATTGCTGTCATTTCCAGGACGCAACATCATTCCTGCCCACAGTACCAACCGCCCCCACTGCAGATCCTGACAAACCCACATACCCTGGGACCCATCACTCCTTCTTCCTCTGCTGGACCTGTTTTTCCATGGACCCATTATCTCCTGACATCCCCGACTCACTCGAAACACTGCATCACTTATCTGGTCTCCTTGCCACCTTGTGCCCTGGCACCCTGCCCACACAGTGCTCTACCATCTAGGCACACTACCCACCTGCACTCTACTGAACTGACACCCTAAACCTGCATTCACCTGGCACTCTATCCTTCCAGTACCCCAACCTCATACTTACTTCACGTACCTACCCTTTCATAGGAGCTGTGAAATTGTGATTCCATACCTTTAAATCACAAAATACAGCAACTGACTGTTGTGAGAAAGGATGCATATTTAGTTTTCTTCATCTGTTCTGCATTATAAGTGACCCATCAGCATAAAAGTATGGCTTCACATTTCTGAAGAAGCCCTAATTGGAATCTCCTGTCAGAAATGTGGAGCTTTTTACTCACATGATAAAAGGAGTGGCATGGTAATCTGTGCATGATTTCAGCTTTTTCAGTGGTTCCAAAACTCCGGTAGTAGAACTGCCATAGAAAATAACAATCAATCTCTTCTACTTTAGTGAAAATCCCATTCAGGCATGTTAACTGATTCAATGAAAGTTTTGAACATAAATCCACCCAACCCCGCTTTCCCCAAGAAACAAATTTCCAATGGCACAGTGAATAAATAATAAGTTATAAATAAATTATATAGAAAGCATAACATTGATCTACATAGGTGAACAGGATCCTGGGCTCAATCTCTCATTTCCCATCTCATACCACAAAGGCCATGTTTATTGTCAAAGCCACCACCTAGTGGGCCAATGAACTTGCACATATAGGAATACACCATTGCTGCCAGATTATGTCACAGTCCACGTTTGCAAGTGTGCTGGTGGCCATGTTAGCTTCTGGACAAGGAGGTGGAGTTCAGCCCTGCCCTTAGTCATGCCAATTGATTAAAAGACCAGACATTCGCTCATGGTCCTCAAGTCTGCTCCCTTTTCCTATTGGGTGGAAGCTGCAGTCAATCACCCAAGCCCTACTGTGAGATCACTGGCTGAGGTAATGGGGCAGGCTTTATACTCAGAGTGCAGCCACTAAATCAAATCTGAAATAATGCATTAATCTCATTTTCTGCTACTTCTGGTTTCTTCCTGACAGACACCAGCAATAACGAAAAGTCCCAACAGACTCCAAGCAAGCACCATTCATCCAGACAGCGCACAGTTGCAAAAAGAATGGTTTCTGAGACACAAGTATTATGGTTAATATTGTTTCAATTAGAGTCACTTCTCAGTCAATCTCTGTCTGAATCAGGTGAGTGTAAGTGAGAATCTGCTGATTTAGCGATTTTCAAAACAGACATTTCACCAGATGCTGGGGAGACATGAGCCCCAATCTCCGCCTCTGCCCTCCTCTTTCTTGCTGTGCCCAGTGATATCAGCACTGCAGACATTTCCTTCAGGTTGTCACATCAAGCTGATGTCAAAGACTGTATTTGGCCACGTGCAGGAGCCATTTTGACATTTCAGGCAATCATTCCAGGGCACAACTGCTCAAAGCACCTCTGGTTCAGCAGAGGAATATTGGCCAGAATTCTATTCTCTATACAGTAAACAATTGGTGAGGATAAACTGGGTTGTGATGACCTATCCAGTAAACTGGTCAACTGAAGTTCACTCAGGCTGATTTAACCCTTTGAAATTGGCATTAATGGTGTGGTCTCGAATTGGGGGAATGGGGTAGGCTTATCGCCTCAATCAACAATCACTCTGCTGATACTTTCACAAATATAATGCAAGGTGACTTAAGTAATCTTCCATGCCAGAGCAGACCCCTTTGAAAATGCAAATTGTGGTGCTATGACATCAATAGAACTCCAAGTTTCCATTTTATGAATGAATGGATTGGAGTGTGCACCAGGATATTGTTGTTGATAGAAAAAGCGTCTATTGGTCTTAAATGATTCCTTGTTTAAATTATTAAATTATGAATCACACAAAGTTAACATACAGATAAAGCTAACAATTAGGAAAATAAATATTAGACATAATTTACTCTCCCACTGCCGGAGTGGGCTGGGAGGGTGGTTAGGGGCATACGATTTGGAAGGACGGGCTGTTGAGGATAACGTGAACCCTTTGCCATGCCCTCCAAATTAAGTCTGAGACAGAGAGGGTTGAGGGTCTTCCCACCTGTAAGTCATTTGAAAACCTTGTGTCCAACCAAGAGTTTCAGGCCATCACTGTTAGTATTTTTAAAGTGCTGGGGTGGGGGATGGTCATACCTTGTGGGTAAACCAGATACCAGCTAGTGGAAGGAGACTGGTAAAGGCTGCATCCATTGGAAGGCTTTCCCTTCCCACCACAATGACATCCCTCCCCACCTCATGCCTGCCTGGCTAGCCCTAGCAAGTATACCTTATTTATCTCTCCTGGGTGTCCAGCTCTGATCCTGGTCCTGGGTTCCCTGCAGTCCCGACAGCAGCCATCACTCCCAATTAGGTTCGCTGGGACTGTACATGTGCCAACTTCTGATAGACCAGTAGCTTACAGAGGTGAGATGCCCACCTTGCAGGAATCTGCAACCCAGATATTGACGAGGCAGATGTCTGATTGGCTTTTAATTGCAACATAGCACCTGGAAATAACTGTGGTGTGGCTGCCACTGGTTCTCCAGATGGTGCATGGGCCCACCAACACTATCATTAAATCCAGACCACTATGTTCACCTTTGTGACAAAAAGATTGGAGTCCAAGAGTAAAAATGTCAAATAGCAACACTGTGTGGCCTTGGTGAGACAACAACTAGAGTACAGTTTTGGTCTCCTTCCTGAAGGAAAGATATACTTTTCTTCAAGGATGTCCATCAAATAATCACTAGACTGCTTCCTAAGGTGAGGGCATTGCTCTCTGAGGAGTAATTCAGCAGTCTTGATAATATGTTTATCTTGGGGTGCAAGAAACCCATACCTCATGAACCAGAATCACTAACACTAAATTATCCATAAGATGACCTTTTTCATCCATGCTCCCCATTTGATACCACCTTACTCCCTCAGTTGCTGCATCTCATACTTTTCAGTTTTGTTGGTGGACTGAACAAATGGAGGATACTTATATATTTACAGAGGTGTCCTATGAATTCATAGAACACAATTGAAAGTGTAAGTATGATACTGTACCATTATATTTGCCTTCAAAAATTTACCAGAGAAAAACAAACAGGAAAGGACACTGATACTTAATGAGATCGATAATATAGTGAGATGTCAGCTAGAGTTATTAGCTCAGTGCAAAGTTGCTTTTTACGGTATTTTTTGTCAGAAATTTTCATAAGCTACTTAGACAAGAGAGAAGCAGACAACGTAACAGCTTAATGATCTTGCTGCCTTTCTAGTCTATAACTGCCATACTTTGATATGTGTGGAATAATTATCTTTCGCTCAAAGTATCAAATTCAAACAGTTCAATACATAAATCCTACTTTCATGCTTATGATTTTAAAGTCTGTTTGGGACTGTACCTATTGTTTTGACAGCCTTACTGTGTCTTCTCTAATATCAGGCCATCTTACTACATTTCTCTACAGAATAAAAATCATGAACAGATTAGAAGGGAAAAAAAATAAACAAATACCATTCAGCTCATTCCTCGCAATTAATTGTTCAGGACCTGCCCATTATATTGGCATCTTCTTTTAATCTAAACATCGACCTCATAATCCTCTATTTCAGTCAGCTAAGAATCTGCCAGTATACACATGAATGCACTAAAAATGTCAGTTAAGCAAAAATAAGAAAATCCAGAAAATAAATTCCATTCAAAGACTAGGCCAGGGAGTAGATTTAATGATGGCTCAGAAATTTGTCATGGTGCCGCTCTATCAGCACAAATTCAGTGGAGCAGAACTCCTGTCCACCCGAGCCTGAATTTACCGATCTCTAAAATGTACAAGAACAGCATCATTTCACAACCACGGTAGGATGCCAGCAGCTTCAAATTCCCTTCACAGAAAATGCTGAATACTGAATCGGCTGACACTCTCTCCCCTAGAAAAGAGAAGGCTGAAAGGTGACTTGACAGACATCATAATCGGATAAATGTAGAAAAGATGCTTCCACTTTAGGATGAGTCCAAAGCTAAAAGGTGTTAAAAGAAGGTAGTTACTACATCAATCAAAGCTTTATTACACTGGGAATAGTCATGCAGAAAATATTAGGCGAAATAGTGTTGGAGAAGGCTCAAGTAGAGTTGACACCTGACATAGGCCATGGGTTGATGGTCTGCTTCTGTGTTATAAGTTTTGTAATTCTGTGTGAGTGGATTTAGCTCCTCAAATAGATACAGTTGTTTGTGGCCTTTTGAAACACTTTACTGTAAAGGGTTAACTTTTTACCATGTACTTGGGAAACTGTGTCAATTAGGATATCATAAATCACACGATGATGGGAAGACCCTGAAGAGAGAAGCAACAGTCCAGACCTCATGTGTAGCTGGAATATACATAGTTAATCCACTGTAACTGAACAGTTACTTTAAAAAGTCCTCAGTTTCTAGTGACATATTTTTCAAACAGTACTGTTTCCTGTATATCCTCTAGGATCCCACACAATGACAGATGGTGGCGTCAGTTAAAGAGATGCAGCAGCAGTAACAGAGAGAAAGGGGAGAAAGCCTGAAGACACATTCAGTTAGAGCAGCAGGAAATGAATCAAGGACAATCTTAGTGATCAGACAAACAGAGAATTAAGTTTGAAACACACAGTCCTGGTGAAGAAGCAGCATAGGCATAGGCAGAAAACCTTTAGTAAGAAATAGGCTCAAAGACTGTCACTTCCAGAAAATTCACATTCAGGACAAGTAGAATATTGGCAGAATTGGTGCATTTGATCTATCCACAACAGAACTGCGTCAGGTTTTGCAACAAAAATCAATAAAGATTAGGTCAGGATCTTGCTGTATGAAATATGCAGCATTTCCGATTACTTTCAAGAAACTGAAGAGCCAATCAGCAGAAATGTTACTTTCCTGGTGCAATTAAAGGAATAAAATGTAGATATTGGTGACTGGTAAAAAGGTAATGGACAACTAACTTAATATAAACTTGACACTGGACTGGAGGAAGGATCTCAGTACTTTTTAATGCAATCACATGCTGAATGAAGAAACACTACAACAATCAACAATCTGACTACAGGAACCAGGATGAATCAAATTAAAAGGAAAAGGACAACTGACTGCATGACTAGAAAACAACGATAGAGAAGTCTTTGAACATTTGTAAATCATCCAGAACCAAAAATATTCTCTGTCAGCAAAAAAACATACTTTAATCTGAAACTTATTTGCAAAGTTGCTGAAATTAAGGGCAAGGAACATAAAGGTGGATTCGGAAGGAAGCAGCATACCACATCACACTAAGAGCAAATGCAAAACCTTCAGAAATCTTCAGATTTCAGAAGTGTGGAGCTGGAGGAACACAGCAGGCCAGGCAGCATCAGAGGAACAGGAAAGCTGATGTTTCAGGTCGGGTCC